TTATTTCCGGGGTGCCTTGATAGTCGAAGCAGACTTTGTGCTGTTGAGGCTAAAGAGGTGAGCAGAGTAAGCCCGATGCCCCGTTTTGACTTCTCTGTTGACATCCACTCCTTGGCTCTCATATGACCTTATGCAGTTGCGAGCGCCGTAAAAACCCTACTCAAACTTTAAAAATCCTTGAACCAAGGGTGAAGAAAGTGTTCTGTGTGTTTGCCGTTTATTTTTTGCTGTTTTTTCTTATTGGACTGCTGTACACTACTATAGTCTGGGAGACACCCCCCCCCCCCAATAATCAATGTAATAGCCAGTTTATCATTTATAGAGGGTGTCAAACTCTACAATTTTGGCACAATGTATTTTGAAGCTATCGTCCACAAAACCAAACAAGATTAATCTTTTGGGCAAGGAATATGACATTCCCTAATGGACTTCCGAGTCAAACTTGATGAAGTAAAAGAGAGGTCAGTTGGAATAATATTATAGTGTTGCACTAGCCAGCGCTATCCTTCAAATGTATCAAAACAAAGCAGATAGGGATTGGACGAAACTTTCTTTTACAATGTGCTCTGGGTATAAGGTTGTGTCATTTTGCAGAAGCATAACTTTAGTTTGATCGATGTAATGTTAGTAAAATTGAAGATGGGGGGAATTGGAAGAGGAAGAGAGAGAATGAGAGGGAGCGAGAGAGAGAGAGAGAGAGAGAGAGAGAGAGAGAGAGAGAGAGAGAGAGAGGAAGGAAGGGAAGGATGGAGAATGGGAGAAAAAGGATCACCATTTGACTTACATTCTTTGTATAATTGTATAGCTCGTTAAGTGCTTTCGTAGTGGAAATGCATAATATAAATACAATGTCTTCTTCTTCTTCTTCTTCTTCTTCTTCTTCTTCTTCTTCTTCTTGTTGTTCTTCGTCTTCTTCTTCTTCTTCTCCTTCTCATATATACCTAATTCTCCTTGAGCGACAAGTCGTGATTGGACACCAGCCTTCACGTCTGTCTGAGCATTGCCTGAGCCATTCTGATAAGCTGGGTTCTGGGCTCCCTCGTCAGGCTTTTGAAAGATGGGTCCCGGTGCTGCATTGTATCCAACTCTGCAATAGAAATCGCCGTGCACGTTGAAGGGCTATGTGTTTTGTCAAAGACAATCACTTGTTCAAACAACCACAAGTCATTTCCCCCTCCCCTTCTTTGCATTTTTTAAAACCCTATCCGTACGTCGTGTTTAACTATCGTATGCATACGACGTGGGGAACTCTGTGCCACCACTTTCCAAAGAGAAAATTTACTCAATTATCCGATCCATACGCTTTGAGATCTTCGTACTAGAAGTATTCTAAAATGTGTGAATAATTGCATTTATATAACACATATCCATGCTCAAGAGCATGCTCTATGCGCTTTACAACCCCAGCAGACCCTCTGAGAACACTCAGAAACATTCTCGGCTTCAGCGGAAGCATACAATGCAAGCTGTGGATTTCACGCGCTCAAACATTATCAAACTGACAAGATCTTTCACTGTCTATAGCCGGGTACCCATTTCCACCTGGGTGAAGTGAGGAAAATTTGTGCGAAGTGCCTTTCCCAAGGACACAACGTCGAGCCCCTGACGGGATTCGAACCACGATCTTACGGTTGCGAGTCCAAGAGCCTAACCACTAGGCCACCGACGCCACTATACAATCCCGGGGGTACAAAATGACTCCAGGGCGTATGGATAGGGTTAAAATATTACAATGACTCTGTCCAAGACGTCCATCTGTCTAAAACAAATCACTTTTCTCCCTGACAATGGGTGGGCCAGAGTAAGCCATTCTGAATATCTCATGGGCCAAAATAAGAGAAAAACAGGTGATTGAAAGACACAAACTTTCAAAAGTGAGACTAAAACTGACACTATAGCATTATGCCTCTTGGGCCATTTCATGAGATATAATGTGACATGAGGCGGTGGAAATCAGGCGCTCATCAATTTTTTGACATGTGGATTTATGGTTTCATTTTAAAGCTTGTTTATTTGTCTTGTTTTCGGGGGGAAAAATACTCATCTATCATGAATAGAAGTTGAGATATTTGCAATTGAAGGGAGGGAGGTCGCCTGGTTTCAGAGGTAAAATTAAAGAGAAAGTGGCAGCCAAAGTTTGGTGACTTCCAAAGCTTGAAAGTTCTTAACAACTGCAAACTTACATTTTTGTGCCTTAAATCAACATTGTTCAGTGAAATCCTTACTATCGTCATTTTTCTTCTACTTTTTTTTGCATGTTTGTCACTCTTTTGTCAACTTCTATTTCCGGGGTGCCTTGATAGTCGAAACAGACTTTGTGCCATTGAGGCTAGAGAGGTGAGCAGAGTAAGCCCTATTCCCCGTTTGGACTTCTCTGTTGATATCAACCCATGGCGCTCATATGACTTTATGCAGTTGCGTACACCAACATCTAGTGTATTGTACATACCTCAGGAAAACCTCTTCCATCGTGGTTGCCTTGTTTCCGTACCCTGAAATG